TACTTCTCCCAGCAAACTGACTCCCTATGCAGCTTGACTGACACTCTGAGGAGTTTAACCTTCCCTGAGTCTTACCTTCCTAGCCATATGCTAAACTAAAGAGGACTGTTTTAAACCTAGCCTTGAATAAAGAGAGCGTATCTGAAAGGAGGCGAGACAGCAGCAGCCACGGCTAGGCTAGTCTACAGTAGGTTACAGCACCAAGATTCATGGATTGCACACCAGGTGTGCAAACCGATCCAAGCAAACCTAATTATATATTATATATCATATACATCATATATACCATACATACCATATATATCATATATAATACATAACATAACATACAACATAACATAATACATATATTGTATAATATATAACATAATATATGACATAATACAGCATATATATAATATATACACCATATATTATATATGACCTACAGTGCCTTGCGAAAGTATTCGGCCCCCTTGAACCTTTCAACATTTTGCCACATTTCAGGCTTCAAACATAAAGATATAACATTTTAATTTTTTGTCATGAATCAACAACAAGTGGGACACAATCGTGAAGTGGAACAAAATTTATTGGATAATTTAAACTTTTTTAACAAATAAAAAACTGAAAAGTGGGGCGTGCAATATTATTCGGCCCCTTTACTTTCAGTGCAGCAAACTCAGTCCAGAAGTTCATTGAGGATCTTTGAATGATCCAATGTTGTCCTAAATGACTGATGATGATAAATAGAATGCACCTGTGTGTAATCAAGTCTGCGTATAAATGCACCTGCTCTTTGATAGTCTCACGGTTCTGTTTAAAGCGCAGAGAGAACCATGAAGACAAAGGAACACACCAGGCAGGTCCGAGATACTGTTGTGGAGAAGTTTAAAGCCGGATTTGGATACAAAAAGATTTCCCAAGCTTTAAACATCTCAAGGAGCACTGTGCAAGCAATTATATTGAAATGGAAGGAGTATCAGACCACTGCAAATCTACCAAGACCCTGCCGTCCCTCCAAACTTTCATCTCAAACTAGGAGAAGACTGATCAGAGATGCAGCCAAGAGGCCCATGATCGCTCTGGATGAACTGCAGATAACTACAGCTGAGGTGGGAGAGTCTGTCCATAGGACAACAATCAGTCGTGCACTGCACAAATCTGGCCTTTATGGAAGAGTGGCCATTTCTCAAAGATATCCATAAAAAGTCTCTTAAAGTTTGCCACAAGCCACGTGGGAGACACACCAAACATGTGGAAGAAGGTGCTCTGGTCAGATGAAACCAAAATCAAACTTTTTGGCCACAATGCAAAACGATATGTTTGGCGTAAAAGCAACACAGCTCATCACCCTGAACACACCATCCCCACCTCAGCTGTAGTTATCTGCAGTTCATCCAGAGTGATCATGGGCCTCTTGTCTGCATCTCTGATCAGTCTTCTCCTAGTTTGAGATGAAAGTTTGGAGGGACGGCCGGGTCTTGGTAGATTTGCAGTGGTCTGATACTCCATCCATTTCAATATAATTGCTTGCACAGTGCTCCTTGAGATGTTTAAAGCTTGGGAAATCTTTTTGTATCCAAATCCGGCTTTAAACTTCTCCACAACAGTATCTGGGACCTGCCTGGTGTGTTCCTTTGTCTTCATGGTTCTCTCTGCGCTTTAAACAGAATCCTGAGACTATCAAAGAGCAGGTGCATTTATACGGAGACTTGATTACACACAGGTGCGTTCTATTTATCATCATCAGTCATTTAGGACAACATTGGATCATTCAAAGATCCTCACTGAACTTCTGGAGTAAGTTTGCTGCACTGAAAGTAAAGGGGCCGAATAATATTGCACGCCCCACTTTTCAGTTTTTTATTTGTTAAAAAAGTTTAAATTATCCAACAAATTTGATTCCACTTCACAACTGTGTCCCACTTGTTAAAATTAAATTAAAATTTTATATCTTTATGTTTGAAGCCTGAAATGTGGCAAAATGTTGAAAGGTTCAAGGGGACCGAATACTTTCGCAAGGCACTGTAATTATATGCTAAATTAAAGTAGAGTGCTTTAAGCCTGGCCTTGAATGTGGAGACCGTATCTGCTTCCTTAACATAAATGGGAAGCTGATTCCACAGTAAAAGAGCTTGGTAGCTAATTGCTCTGCCGCCAACAGTGATTTTTGAGACCTTAGGAACCACCAGACGTCTGGCGTTTTGTGCGCGCAACGCTCGACTTGGTTGATACGACACTAACGTGTCTTGGAGATAAGAAGGAGCCAAGCCATTTATGGCTTTATATGTTAAGAGAAGGATTTTAAACTTTATTCTGTACTCCACAGGGAGCCAGTGGAGTTATTTTAACACCGGAGTTATGTGCTCCCTCCTTTTGGTACCTGTTAAGATCCTAGCTGCTGTATTCTGAACGAGCTGGAAGCTCTTCAAAGAGGCTTTAGGGCTTTAATACAATAAACATACAGTACATACATATACAAAAAGAATCAAACCCTTACAATAGCCTCCAGCAAAACACAAAACAGTCAGTGACACACATACACACACTGAGAGCTGACGTCACCTTTGTTTGCTTGTTTGATTCCTATTGGCTACTGAAATATACAACCAAATTAGCTACCCCATTAGCTACTGAAAAGTTTGTGAATGTGGAGGAAGCTGATTAGAACATAAGCTAGCTGGTGCCAATTTCCTTAAATGGGCATTTGTTCCAACTGTTTTAGCTTCGTGTTGTAACGGGGCAGAGGCTTTGTTCAGATGGTTGCTAAGGTGAGCTGGAGTTTCCCCGTGAATGAAAGCAACGGATTGTTCAACACTTACTACTAGACAATATCCAAATATACACACCAAAGAGAGCGCTCAACCACAGATTTGTTGAGACCAAAATGGTGAGGGTGACACAAATGATTACTGAGCAGGAGGAGTTTATTTGCCAAGAAATAGGAGCCAGAGCGAGTTGGAGCAGAACTTCATGCATGAGCACTTCATGCATGAGCACTTCCCTATTGAGCTCGTGGGTGACCATCATCCATCTGTATACATTCTATATTTTCAGCCTTGGCTCCATAACTATAAAACGTGCGGGTTTCACATAACAAATTGAACACATTCTTTTGAGCTTTATATGATACTCACCAGTTATTTTTGAGTTTTTGCCTTTAGAGTTTGATTGGTCCAAATGTCAAATGTCAAAAACAAAACAAGGCAACAATTATAACACAAAGGAAAAGAGTACATACACAAACTGAAAATAATAACACATTTTAAGAATGAATGAAAAAGAAACAGATTGAGATTTTTTGTTTTAGATATAATAATAAAATGTATTTTTTTAAAAACAAAAATGAAGATATATAATAATAGTAAACTAAAGTTATTTTTCTCAACTCATTTCAATGGACAAATCTCAAACCAGCAGCAACCATGGTCTCAGTAAAGAGAAATTGTTCCGACGTCATGTGTTATTTAGCAGCAACATAAAGACACCTGTAGCCACATAGATGTCAGAGAGCTAAATAAGAACCTGGATTTCTGGACCGGAGCTCCCTGGAGTGGTGCCCGCGGACGTCAGAATGTGTCGACCCCTCAGTCCGCCTGCAGCAGAATACTCAATGGTCCATATCAAGCCCAGTGCAGAAGTCTGAGCACACACCGACCTCACTCTCTGCTCTATCCAACCTCCACATACACAGGCGCTGGGAGCTGCTAGACGGAGAGCAAAGGAGTAATACAATGCTATTTCTATTGAGAGATAAAGCTAAACGTATCTGTATGTCACAAAAACGTATGAGCAAAATGTTTTCTCATGCACTGCGGAAAATTTATGCGTGAGCAACAGCAAGAACGCAGATATGTATTGTAAACAGATTAGGTGAGATTTTTTTGAGTTTTGTTGATCACACAATGGAGAATTGTACATGTCCCACTTGGCGTAGATAGAATCACTCAGATTGTACAAAAAGACAGAAGTGTGCAAACATGTTGAAGGTTAATAATATAGTCTGCAGGATTTAATTATGTACAATAAAAAAGTGGCAATAGCAGTGATGGTTCTTCAGTCCTAGAGCAGGTCATTGGTGACTTAAAGTGACTTATTGTACAGTCTGACAGCAGTGGGGAGGAAGTTAGTTATTCAGAAAGTTATTAAGTTCAATGAATCAATCGATTTTTGTATTTCAGAAAGATTTAAAATGCAAATCCACTGAACACCATGGCAAAATAGCATGCATTGTCAGCCCTAATCAAATAAAAAAGGAATATTCCAAAAACATTTATTGACATTTGTGAATATTTATGGGCATTGGTCATGTGTCTTGTGTGTGTGTTATTATGGCATTTCTTGAGTTCAAATCATTTAATTCTCTGATCTGTTCTTTATAAGTCAACAAAAGAGGACTGATGTTGTGATTTAGTGTTGTACAAAAATAGATTGAATTGAAGTTGAAGTGAAAAACGGGTTGTAGAAAGCCAACACACACTGGCCCCAAAACACTCTCTGACCCAACACTCATCCCCCACTATAATGCAATGCTATTTCTACATCCACTCTCTCTCTCTGTGGAGATGTCATTCTCTGCTGAAATTATAAGTTTGAAACAAAAGAGTGCAACTTTTCTGATGCCAGCAAAGTTTGGTACTGATCTGCTTCTAACATGTCAAAAATACATAAATCCAACCCGCAATTCGGATTAATTATTTTCAAACGTCAACGCTCAATTTTATAGATCGACTCCACTCCACCAGCTCAAAACTTACACCTTTTTTTATGTATTTGTTTGGTAATAATAATCAACAATGGACTGGAGCCTAGAACTTTCCCTCAGCCTGTGTAGACTAAGCTTGAATGACAGGACATTAGAGCCATCCTGGGCGCTCTACAATACACGGCTTTTGAGGTGTGTTTTCTGCTCTTGACAGCCTCATTGTGCAGCCTTTTTAATATGTCATGGCTAATTTTAAACTTGTCACTTATATGGCTAATCCAAAGAGAATTTTCTTTTCTTGCTTTCTCCTCAGCCGGATGCAGACTTGAGGGTAAATGGAGTGTCATCGCCCGCACTGCAAGGACCACTTAACGACAACTCAGGTGTGATTTTAGTCTCTAACTTATGCTGTAATGAAGTGACTGCAGTGGGATCATTATTCTTGCGGTAACTATTCTCATTTTTAGCACTAGAACTCTCAGAGCAGTCAATTTGACGGTTTTTTAGTTTTGGAAGTTGTATTTACTTTGCTTATGTACGTTTGCAGTCTGCGTAGCTTAGTGACTTTTTCGGTCTCTATATGTAGCTCATTACTAAAGCCCTATTCGGACGGGATTAGTATTACCTGTGGACCCCTGGTAATTTTTGATAATCGCGGAGGAATGTTTTCAGAATTCCATTTATTCTAATTGGAGCTGTCAACATGACGGCTCTGCGAGTTCTAGTAGTTTCAATGTTTTCGTAGTCCTAGTAAAATGATTATTGATGTTTTGTAATCTCTTCAGTTATGGCGTGAACACATAACTCATTAGAAGTATATTGGTTCTACAATTTAGGAACGTTTCTTAATTCTATCATAATGATTTCAAGAATAATCCTTTCTCTATACGTTTTGGATTCATCTCCTTTTCCACATGACTCAGTTTGTCCTGAGCTCACAGTATAAGACGTATTTCTGCTGCATTTCTATACCTGTTGCATTCAGGGCTTTGGTGGGCTGCCAGATAATTTTGAATCCCTCCTCTCTCCTTCCATCTGTGTGTGTGTCTGTATCTGTCTCTGTGTGGGTATGTGCCTCCGTGTGTGTATGTCCGTGTGTGTATGTCCGTGTGTGTGTGTGTGTGTGTGTGTGTGTGTGTGTGTGTGTGTGTGTGTGTATGTCAATGTGTGTGTGTGTTTAGATGAGCTGCTGGACTCTCCCAACAGCAGCTCTGACCTGGCAGATGTAATGGAGCAGATTAACAACTCCTTTCCTGCATGCTCTCGTAAGTCCTCCTCCTCCTCCTCCTCCTCTTCCTCCTCCTCCTTCGTCTCTCCCACTGCGTCTCCCCAGATTTACTAAGATGATTTAGGACGTTTTACTGGTCAGCACTTATCATCTCATCAATTAGTTTATGTAAAGTGGGCGTTTGCAGTCGAAACCCATGCTTCCAAATGTCCGAAACGATCAAGACCAGCAAAAAATATGTACCGTGATTAGAAAACCTCTTCCTTTTCATCAGTTTTGAGTAATTCCACCCAGAATTTATTTTTCTATGTGGTGATATTGGCTTCAGGATCCAACAAATACTCACTCTAGTGTTATCAGTCCACACGCCCCAACCGCAGTATTACCCCTTTGTTAATTTCACCCTCACAATCTTGGCAGGTTTTGATCTAGGCTTTCCCTTTGTACATGGTATTTTTAATCATAATTCTGCTGCCAAAAATACAGAGTGCCAGCTTCACTAAGCGCCAGACTATACTTTACACCAGGGCTTGTCTAAACGACACATTTTTAAACCGGATTTGGCTGCATTTGGGCTGTTCAGGGCTTTAAATCCGTATGACATGTCCGTATAGATTTGCATTTAACAGAAATGAAGATTACAGGGGTGAACTATGGCACCAAAGCTACTCAAAAATATCGAAATATACAAATAGAGTAGACGACTGGAGGATTCGAGAGGTTCTGATCTTTGAATTGGCTGGATGACACTGTGAACATTTATCTTATTTTGATTAGAGTTTTTATTATAGGGTAATTGTTCATTTATCTTGTGCTATGTTCTCCTCATTCTTACTGTCTTTAACTGGTGATGCAACACTGACATTTTCCCACTGCGGGACGAATAAAGTATCTCTTAATCTTAATCTGTTTAAGATCTCAAAGTCTACATTAGGTTAGCGATGCAGAGGGCCACATATAATAACACAGAGGGGCAGATCTGGCCTTAGTTTGGACATGCCTGCTCTAGCCCTAAAACAGCGGATCTTTGATTAAAGCCAGGACAAAACCAAGGCTGAATTCTCGTAAACATTTTGTTTATATTTTTGGATATTATTTTTTCTGAATGGCACAAGGGTTTTCTGCCAAATGAGAAGATTAAAGTGCGAGTCAGGGTCAGACCACATTAGTATACAGTACAGTATGCTCTCATTTGGCTGTATTGTTATTGTGAAGCCAGATATTTTTGTATTTATGCAAGAATATATTGACTGTCTCCAGTAACAGTGATTATCATGGGGGAAAAAACTGTACAATCAAAGACCCGGAGATCATTCTTTTGGGCTGACAAAGTGATTCATTCTTTCCCTTTGTCTCTCCCTTCTCTGTCCTCATTTGTCCCTGGGCTCGAACTGTCCCGGCTCTAATGCGTCTCTTACACGGTCCAGTTAGAGGTGGACAGTGCTCTCCCTCGATGCCTCAACTGCACTTTGAGAAATGTCCGGGGGATTGGGGTGTAATGTTGCCTGAATTTGAATGAGATTTTGGGACTATAGAGCTGCCATTTCTTGTGATCTTCCAGCTAAAAGCAAAAGAGCCGCAGGGAAAATAGCCTCTTTTGTAATATTTTGGATAAAAGTCACAGTTTAATGTACGGTCATAGCCAAAGCCTTCGCAGTTAGTTTAAGGGCGATAAGTGCAGCCTTTTCCTCTTTGAATGAGATCTCCTCGAGGTTTCTCACATTTTTTCCCACTGGGTTTTTTGAGTCGTTTTTTGCAGATGCAGGAGGGTCTGAAGACAGCGAGTAATGTTGAGTAATGTCATTACTCAAAAATAATGAAAAAACAATGTATTTGAGGAAATACACTAAGAAGGGTGGCTGAGTGGTTAACACTCTTGCTTATCATCATCAACTCTCTCTCTCTCTCTCTCTCTCTCTCTCTCTCTCTCTCTCTCTCTCTCTCTCTCTCTCTCTCTCTCTCTCTCTCTCTCTCTCTCTCTCTCTCAGAAAAGCAGAATCAGTTCATGAACATATAGTATTTATAATGAGATGAATAGTTTATTGCATCACCTGGAAGTCTGCTAAAATACTATTTGCCTTTTTCTCAAGTGATATTTCTCTTTCTCCAAGAAAAATTTTGGTCAGTCGTTATGCCGTAGAAAATGAATCCTTTCTCATCCCTGCGAATCTTAAAATCAGTATTAAACTAGAAACCAACGGGAGAATGGCCCCTAGCCCCACACATTAGCTCTGGTTTCCACCTGTGATTGACAACGTTTTGCTCTGCACCTTCTCCAAACCCTGCACAATGAGGAGTGATGTCGGAATAATTACATCAACGTGGATTTGCACATGAAAAGACCCACGTCTCAATCACCCAAAAACTTTCTCAGCTTGTGTATGAAGTCTGCAAACTTTTTATTAGGCCTCATCTCGAGCGCTTTTAAACATTTTTCACACAGCCTTGAAGGATTTGTGATTAACAGCATAATTTGTTTTCCCGATTCCATCAGGAAAACCTTTAACTCCCTGATTTCACATACTGCCGAGTTGAAAGAATATCCACCTCTGGGGATGTTAACCAAATAAAAGAATGGAACTCATTTTGTGCAGCGAGTCAGAGCTAACGCTGACTTGAAATTGTGTGCCGATTTTTAGTGGAAACTCCTATGAGGGCTGTAGTTAAAAATCCATTCTAATCTGGCAGACGATGTTGTTATTAGCATTGGGTAACTGCTCCGCTCCGAGGTTGAGTGGGTGAAATGTGGGAGAGTCCCGCCGGCAGATCCTTTTCACTGTATTTCCTAATAGAGTTATGAACTGGGCCAGTGTTAATCTCTGCTTTATGTTTCTCCACAGCCTCCAGTCTCTCTCCCAGACCACAGGTAAGCGGCTGATAAATTAACTTGCTTCTCCACTGTACTCACAGATCCAAATATAAAGCCTTTTCCTCAGCTTTTGATGGTGCAAAGTCAGCAAAGAAAGCATCAAATTATGGGCAAGAGAATATAATGTTACGCGACAAACTTTTTAAATGGTTTCCCCGATAGTGCGAGGTCAGGTTTTCTTCAGCAAAAGAGCTGTAGAAATAATAATCGCAGATCACAGCTCGCAGACCTGGCAACGCGGACTCGCCTTGTATCCGATTTAATCACATTTCTCCTCCCCAGTCCTTCCTAATTTTTTGTATTGACTTTAGTACCAGAGAAGAATAATATCTTTAAACGTTGTGATGGGAGAGCTCTAACACCAGGTGCCAAACTGTCCTTGTGTCCTTGGGCAAGACCCACATTGCCTAGAATAAGTCTAATGTGTGTGAATGATTAGTGGTGGTCAGAGGCGCCGCTGCCACATACTGCATGCCTCGCTTCTGTCACTGTGCCCCAGGACAGCTGTGGCTACAGCAGTAGTTTATCACCACCGTGTATGGAGTGAATGACAGAAAACGGCAATTGTTTAATTCATTAAAATAAATATCTCCTCCACCATTATTATGGCTTTGTGTCAAATGTGAAGAAAAACTAAATTATCCATAAGCTTGTTCCTCTACATAGAGTTTATAACTCAGCAAAAGCGTGTTGTTGTCGGTGCAACAGTAAATCCCGAGCCTAGCTTTAAGCCCGTTAGCGTCTATTCCCCGGCCATTGCCCTTGTCCACGGCCCATAGTTCCTGAGATGAACTGGGGACCCTCTGCAGACTTTGCTAAATTATTGTCTGCCCTTCTGTGTGCTGTGGTATATATTGAAGTAATTGCAGCCTGCTCTTCCAAACACACCCCTCCCTGGGTCCCCTCGCGCTCTGGGGGCGTTAAAGGCAGTTATGGGAGTCTGGGGAGGGCCATTAGCTCCTGATCCTCGGCCTCCTCTGAGCTGTTAGCGAGCGTAATAACTCGTATGCTAGCTCCATGTGAGACAACACCTTCTTTTAATGAATTTAAAACACTCCAATAAGCATCATGTAGCGCTACACCTGCATGTGAAAGCCAGATCTCATTAGATCTCTGATGCTAAGTAGGGAAGGGCCTGGTTAGTGATATGATGGGAGACCTCTGTGAACACCAGGTGCCACAGTGGGGGCGGCTACGGCTGTAAAACTGTTGTGCCCTTAAGCAACACACTTCACCCACGCTGCCTAGAAGGAGCCTGGTGGTGGATGGAGGGGTTAATGGCACATACTAGTTGCCTCACTTCTGTCAGTGTGCCCCAGGGCAGTTGTGGCTACAGTTGTATATCATCAGTACTGTGTGTGGAGTGAAAGAGTGATGATGTGTCCAAAAAGCATGTTATAAAACCAACGTATTATTATTATTATCATTATTATTATTATTATTATTAACATGATGTCTCCATTACCTGAAGCTTTTATCTACTCATCATTAAGAACATTATGCCTCTCTGTGTCGGCCAACTCATAATATCAAATAGCTTTTCTCGCATCAGTAAACATTTTTGCCTAATTACTTCAATATTCAAAGCCTCTTCACCTAACCTTCAAAAATCTCATTTATTTCAATAATAAGTGTTTGGAAAGTCCCACTTAATCACTTTTAGCTGACACTGTCACAGACACACTCTAACATGAGGCCTTATGATTCAAATATTATTTCAAGACAATCTCAGCGTCAGGTAAATAATGAATTTTCCACAAAACCATTTCTTCTCTCTCAAGTCATAAAACACATTTGCAAACTCAAAAAAAAAAGCCTCGCCTAGAATTTATTTTGACTTCTGTCTGTCTGTCTGTCTTCCAGGTGATGTGAGGTGTCCACCGATTGTCCAAACAGCTCGGACCATTTGCGACCCCAGTCCAGACTTTTGAATCCCAAAGACGTCCCAGGAACAAGACCAGGACCAGGACCGCACCCTACACTTTGTCTCGTACTATGCAATCTGTATCTTTCCTGGACAGTAGATTGTTCCACATTTGGTATTTGTGATTTTGTTTTAGAAATGCAGTACTCAGATATGGGGGGTTATGTTTGTACAGTCTAAAGTTGTATCTGTTAGTGTTTCGTTCAGGGGGGGAAGGGGTCATGCTCCTTTTATGTTCTGGGAATCCATTGTTACATTTTCCGTGTTTCGCCAGCGCTCTCTAGCACTCGGAGAATCCACTCATTTGTCAAAAGCAGACGCTATGACGCTCCTGCTTTTTTTTTGGGAACGTCATCAATCCCGAGATAAAGCATTCCGAGGCTGAGAGGCCTGTGTGTTTCGAAGATAAATATTGTGTGGCATGCTTGATGTCAAACCCCCCCCCCCCTTTAAACGCATCGATAAACCGCCAAAAACATTGTCTATTTTGTTTTGTAAGCCGTTCCCTTCTGTGCCTATACACTTTCCACGCGTTGGAAAATTCAACTGTGTACAAAAAGAGTCAACGTTTTGGAGTATATAGATTTAATTGATAAAAAGCTGATCAATCATTATTTAGTTTTTTAATATATGTTTGGAAATCAGAGGAAAGCCATGATTGCCTTGCTACCTCAGACTGCGCAGACACAGTTCTGTTAGTAGTGGTTTGTAGACTTTGGGTTACAGTTTGACATTTACACGCGACTAAAAGTTGTACGTTGTTTTTTCCAATGGGTCTGTGGCCTGCTGAAGCGCTTTTTCCGAACGCTTTCATTGCTGTTTTGTGTTGTTTTAACCACTGGCCTTGTTGCACCGGTCTCTCACTGCATTGTGTTGTCCTGCTAAATGCTACTATCCTGTAAAAAAAACTTGTGCGATGTGGACCACAACACTACTCTTTAAGTTGTGTAGTAGTAGACTGGACAAAGATGAACTGTGCGTAACCAAGGCAGAACTGTGTCATCTCCTGAGGTATGTAAAATAGTTTGACCACACTACATGTAATATGGCGACGTTGTTTTATTCTGAATAAATTTTTATAACAGTGAATGTCGATGTGATTTTCCTTTTTGCATACTGCTATTACTAACGATAAATTCATTATTCTAAAAGTTACTAACAATAATGAATGAATTTATTAGATTGTGCCTGATTGGATTGTGCCTGATTGGATTGTATATCCAATCAGCACAATCTAATAAATCAGTCAACTTTTACACAAAGTGCCTCACAACCCATACCACGTCTGGCATGAATCATAAACATGAAAATAATATTATTAAAATACCACTCGACTAACATCTAGATCACATTAAATATTAAAAACATAAATTTTCTTCCAGTCTAAGCTGAGACGCCCAGACTTCACTGTCCACACACACTTCCTCCACACTCATCCGGGGGAGACCCCAAGGCGTTCCCAGGCCAGCTGAGAGACATGGTCCAGGAGGCATCCGGAACAGATGCCCGAGCCGTTGGAGCAAATAGAGAAACATCGTCCGCAAACAGCAGAGATGAAATCCTGTGGTCCCCGAACCGGACCCCCTCCGACCTCTGAATGCGCCTAGAAATTCTGTCCATAAAGACAGTGAACTGAACCGGGGACAAAGAGCAGCCCTGGCGGAGGCCAACATGCACCCGCCAACATGCACCGGGAACAGGTCTGACTTACTGCTGGCGATGCGAACACAGCTCTGGTTCCGGTCATACAGGGACCGAACGGCCCTCAGCAGAAGACCCCCCAAAGGACACCCCGGGGAACACGGTCAAAAGCCTTCTTCAAATCCACAAAGCACCTGTGGATATTAAAAATATTTTAAAAACATTAAAATCACACATGAGATTAAAATGACATGTGACGCCTCCCTGGGGAGGTGCTTTGGGCACGTCCCACCGGTAGGAGACCCCGAGGAAGACACCAGGACACGCTGGAGGGACTGTGTCTCTCAGCTGGCCTGGGAACGCATTGGGGTCCCCCCGGACGAGCTGGAGGAAGTGTGTGTGGATAGGGAAGTCTGGGTGTCTCTGCTTAGACTGCTGCCCCCGCGACCCGGCAACGGATGAAGCGGAAGAAAATGGATGGATGTGAAGCATCTTTGAGTGTCCAAAAAAGCACCATATAAAACCGATGCATTATTATTATTACAATCATGAATATACCAAAAATGTTATCGTTTTTCACTACTTTAATTGAAATGAAGCAGATTACAGCTTTTATCCTTGATAGAGAAGAGACTGTTTTAAACACATGATTTCAAATACTCCCAGAGCAGTCATTTTGACGGCTCCCATTCACATTAATGGAATTCTGAAATACTTTTAACTTTCCAAAATCCTCCACTTCCTCACACATTTGTCTCTCATTAGACTTGGATGAGTCTGAACCGGCACCGACCTGTGTCTCGTCTCTAATGAATCTTGTTTGAAATGCAGTAACACTATCTTCTCATTTTAGAGTCAGTTGGTGCGATGCCAGGATTTAATCTCAACAATTTAGTATCGTATTTTATTCGTACATTTTCTTTGAACATCGCTGAGTCTCCATGACAACCGCAGATGAAGAATGAACGCCAATTAGCTCCGTTTACCAGCAGAGTTCAGACATTAATATGGCTCACCTCATTAAAAATCCTGGGGTTAATAATACATCTGCTAACATTTACATTGCTTTGACATGACTGTGTATATAAATAATATTCCTACAACCAGAGGCAGTTTAAAAATGACTGTGGTGGTGCTAAAGATGCACGAATATGATACAAAGACAAGAAACAAGGACTTTTATTTTTATTTCATGTTTTTATCATAGTTTGAAATGGAAGAAAAGAAAAGAAAATTGGTGAAGATTTGTCAAATATTCAGCAAATTGGTCTCGTTTGGGAATTAAAAGGCAAACCAGAAAGTCACACTGTTTGATTTTTAAAGATTTATTTGCAAATTATGGACAAAATTAAGTGTTTAGTGAATAACGAACGTCCCTGTAAATACTTTCTCATACCCTCCATTCATTTATGCTTCCCAGATAATAGATCAACATGTACACAACATATCTGACCTTTTCTGAACAAAAGTGGAAGTTATTCTTATCAAAAATACAATGGACAATGGTCAATGATATTTGAAGTCTGCTGTTTTTACATCATGGACTGGAAGATTCTGCCAACAAAACTCGAGCCGTATATGGATAAAGTGTATGGACTTTAGACTAATTCACACTGGAATCTTTGTTTTTTTCCTTGTCCATGCAGGAGGGTCTACGGACAGTGATGAACGTTCAAGGACATTTATGGTCATTGGTCCTCCCACTCCCTATGAACCAATAGTTCCATCCATCCATCCATTTTCTTCCCCTTAATCCATTTCTGGGTCGGGGGGGTGGCAGTCAGAGCTGCACCCAGTACACAGAGCACCAGCCCCTCATTGATCCTCCTGCAGATGGTGAGTCCACAGGAGCTGAGATCTTTCAGTGGGGGCTTCAGGCAAAGTGGGGTTAAGTGTCTTGCCCAAGGACACCACGACAGCAGTCATCAGTGGGAGTCATGAAATAGGTCTTGTGGTGGGCTTGAACCCACAACCTTCAGGCGCAAATGCCAATGCTCTACCAACTGAGCCACTGTCGCCCCTATGTGTTATTATTTTATTTCCTGTGTTTGATTCTCTGATCTGCTGTTGGTGAATTGACAGTTTTATAAAGTCCTGCGAGAATAATGGCCAATGAGAGCTCATAATACTGTACATACCATCTATCTAAGTAACTATAATTACACATGTTGTTTGTTGGTTTTTCATCCACATATGAATCATTTTTAAACAAAATTTGTCCAGTTTAGGTGAAATTGTGGAGGCGCCCTTAGATACTTCCAATCTCACATTTTTTTCTGACAGCTCTCGTCCAAGGCCACCTCAGTGTTGTCTTCCTCCTGCTTCATTAAGAACACAGCTCTTGGTCAAGTACATCTCGCCTCACATCTGTTCTGTTTCTCTTTCACACTCGGATGATACGACACGAGATAATTGGGTCGAGATCCATTCTTCTGAACCTGGTTTAATTGGCCTTACACAATACTCCACCAGAAGCACAACCAAGAACATGTGTAGGATATTTGTTATATATTATACGCTCTTTCTTAAGCCTTTAGTTGGTCCAAAGCAACTATTCTAAAGCAGTCAGAATGTGCTCAATCTAAGACACATTTTGCCAAGTTTGAGCAATTTTTTGGTTGCATTGTTGTTGTTGTTGTTACCTTGTCCAGACATTTTTATTTTGCTACAATATTATTATTTCTGTAACAAAATTGCACCGCGCTCTTGAACTGTCAGAGGGGGGTGGAAGTGGCTTGACACGAAATGCTTTTAATTACCATTCACATAACAACATAAAAGCCTGTTGGATGTTTTCTTTTGAAATACTTGACTGCAATTTGAAAGAGAAATCCATGGGAAACATTTCATTAAAGTCTCTTAGTGAAATAACTATAAATACTGCAAGCTTTATTAAAATATGTTGAGCACAATTTAGAAGAATGCTGAGTTTAAACAGAAAAAGAAAAGCACCAAAAAATTCTTGATACCTTAACTTTAGAAATTCTGATTATTAGACATTTTTAGTTTTTGTGTGAATGTGCTTGTTTTATCTTTGTCCCCTTTTTCTCTCTGCAAACTTTTATAAACATTCAAATCTACAGAAACGTTAAAAATGCATTACAAAACCGTAAAAATAACATCACACAAGTAATTAAAAACATTTAAATCACATGGGATTATAATTATAAATAGCCACAGTGCACCTAAAAGAGTAAAAATAAAATAATTCAGTTGTTGCACTAAACAGAACTGTTTTTAACCAAGATTTGACAACTGCCAGAGAAGACGCCTGTCTCACATTCTCAGAAGACAGTTCCAAATCCTA